GAGGGGCGAGCGCTGCCGATGGCCGGGAGGGCCCTTTCGGCGAGGCTCGGTCGTGCGAACGGGTGTCATACGCATGTCGTGTGCGATCGTGCCTCGGTATTGCGCTTTCTCGGTTTATTTTGGTTTTGTACTAAGGTAAGTGCTGCTGTCAAGTGAGCTATAATTCTGCATCTGTGCCTACAAATTTATTTAGATGCGTCTGCCTCCACTCTTGTAAATCCATTATTTCTTAGTTAAAACCAGAGAAGTTAAAATTTTCTGAAGTTGGGTTGCATTCCGCTTGCCCTCCTTGTCATGAAGTTTCTAGTGAAGTTTCTAGTGAAGGCTGCAAGAGCAAAATCTCCGGTGACACTTCTAGGACCAGTTACTGGCTTGTTTATGTTTTACAGGTCTGGCCTCTTGGGGCTTTTTAGTACCTGAGGAACAGATTGCAGAAGGCCTCGGTACACAGTTGTGTCCCTGTTCCTCTGCTATTTTAATTGTAGTTGGCAAACTGGGATCCTGATGTCAGTGCAACAGGACTTTTCCCGAACTCTAGCACATCTGTATAAGCTGTGTTTTCTGTTCAGTGGGGCAAACATGTCCTTTTTTCTTAGTTTCCATTGTTTTCAAATTAACAATTTTCTCTTTTATTTTCAAAACTTTTGGTGAAATTCTAGTTGTGATCTCTGAAGAGAAGGCACTCATGCTCTTCAGTTTCCTCCTCTTGAGTGCTGAGTTGTCAAAACCAGTGACACTGCAGATTAATGATTGCTAACTCTTCTGCATATTTAGCGGTGAATGCACAACTGTTCAAAAATGCAAAACTTAAAAGACCATGGAGCTGACTTGTTCAGTGACTTAGTGAGTTGTCTTCCCAGAAAATGGAAAAGACTTGTGCTTGGTAGGTCTTAAATATGCAAAATAATAAATATATTTTTAAAACAATCAGAAGCTTGGGCAAATCAGAAGGTACTTGCTGCTAGAAATACTGAAAAGTCAGTCATTTGAGTTGTTGCTTTGTAGGCTGATTTTGACTAAGTTTTGGTTATTCTTCCTTATTACCCATCACAAACACTGCGTACATCTGGAATCTGAACCTTCTTGGAAGGTTTTTTTAAATCACAATTTGTAAGAATTTTGTGTTGAAAAAACCCTAGGGTTGCTGTAGTATATTTACTTAAAAGTGATGCATAGGTAGAAGAAAGGATATGGCTTTCTTAAGGTACGGTGTTTGAGCCACTGGCTTTGCACGTAGGATATTACTGTATGCTGTATTTTGCAGATTTTCAGTGAAACTGCAGCTTGCTAAAGTAGCCTTGTGTACCTATGATAGCGATTGGAAGTGATCAAAGATATGTGACCATTCTTTAGAAACACGCTGTTTATTCCAGGTGTTTTTGTCTCTTGGTTAGCAGTAGCTTTACTGGCGTGAAGTTAACGTGCCTTTGTCATTCTGCCTGTTTCTGCTGGTAATGCCGTTTCCAGTGTCAAGAGTTACACTTTGCATGACCAAATTTCACTTCACTTCTTAATTCTAGTCCTGCACCTTTACTGGGGTCGGCGCTTCTGGAGCTGCAGCCTGTGCTGGGCTCTTGTCCCTATTTGTATGCAGGTACTTTGCTTGTGTGCACACTGTCAGAACTCATGAGGGTAGGTGATGGGGTTGTAAATGGCACTGTGAGGTTGACCTTCCATTGAAGGGAAGGTGTGCTATTTTATGGGTCTTGTCTTGATGCACATTTAACCTCCTCATGTAGGTCCAAATGAACGATAGTGGTAGCCAAAACCATGGCTGTCAAACAGTTGCTTTGCTTTTAAAGAACATGGTATTGTTTGCTCTTGAAGGAGAACAGAAATGCTATGGAAAACTGAACTGGAATCGCACATCTGAACTTCCTTCAGAAATTTGTTTGCAATGAACAGTGCCAAGAGACTGGGAGAGTTGCTTTTGAGGTGCTTTTGTGAAGATTTGCCCAAAGAATTTCCGATGCTATTATACACACTTATTGCTTGCAAAATTTCTCAGTATGTATGTTGCTTACAATTGTTTTGTAGGGTATCTTTAGACTTGTTGGAAATAGTAAGTTCTGATGGCTGAGACACCTCATAGAAAAGCTGTCCTTTAGCTTGATTAGTGACAAGTTTTAAAGTTAAAAGCTGAATGTTTTGAGATAGTGTAAAGTCTGGAATTTTAAATACTGGCTTAATCTTGGTATTTAAATTCTTGTATATTAGGAAATAATTTAGTTTCAAAACATTTTGTTTGCAGTTAACGTGAAATGGGGAAAAGAGAAATTTGATGGTGTGGAGCTTAACACTGACGAACCTCCAATGGTCTTCAAAGCCCAGTTGTTTGCACTGACTGGAGTTCAGCCAGCTAGACAGAAGGTTATGGTCAAAGGAGGAACTCTGAAGGTACAAATATGTGGGGTTTTGTATTATTTCTAACTTTATTAAATTGTAACATAATGAGCAATGACCATATTTCTGAGTGTTTCTCCAGATGTTTCATTGTATGTATTAAACTGACTACGCTTTTCAGAAATAATTCTGTTTGGTTCATTGCCTACTACTAGAAAATACTGGCAAAAGTTTGTTGCTAAATGGTTGAGAGGTTCACTGCTGTTTTAAAACACTTCTTCACTCTTTTATACTAAACAGTACTCTGCTTGCTGTTTTTTTCCTGATCCTTTCCTGATTCCTTCAGAATCTGAATGCAACTTTTTGCTTTTTAGCTTGTTTAAGAAAAGTTTCTCTGGCCCTTCTTTGCTGGAGACTTATTGGAGTAATGCGATATAGGCGACTTTCCTAAAGAAGTTGTTTACATCTAACCAGTGTTGATCAACAGGTGAAGAACCTTACTGAAGAGATAACTTGGCTGCTTTTTATTTTAGTCTGACAAGACTTGATGCTGTGTAAATAGTTAATATTGTGGAATTTTGGATGAAACACAATTGTATATTTAGAAATATGTGGTTAATATTAATGAAAATACTTGTTTGTCTTTTGCTTCTAGATAATTAACCTGTCTTTTATTTCATTTCAAATACAGGATGATGACTGGGGGAACATAAAAATAAAGAATGTAAGTTCTGAGGAATAAGTACATTTTACTAGTTTTACTAGTTTGATTTTTATTTTGGCATTTAAAGAAAGATTTAAAGGTTTTGCTGTTTGAATGGGTAGCTTGTTCTTAAAAATCAGATGTTGATGAAAAATAATTTTGTAGTTGTCATACCTAAGCATTCTTAGAAAGTTCTCATCATTGATTTGCAAAAAACCTTTTTTGGCATCAGTACAGAAATTACACCATCTTCCTGAAGCACTTGGGAGCGTATATTTCTTTCTTTCTTGCAAGAAATGTTCTGGGTCAGACCAGTGGTCCTTCTATGTTGTGTGTCTATGACCGTATTAATAAGCAATGTTATCTAGAGGCAGCTTGTGAACCTGTGCACCGTCTGTGGTCGTCTGTGGACATTGTGCTTGTACGTCCCAAGCATGCAAAATCATTGCATTAGAAATGCTGAAGTTAAAGCTCTACCTATTTTGTTTTTTATCAAGGTGATGGAATTTGTTCTCCTGTACAAATGGATGCTGTTTAGAAACAAAGCCATTAGTAATGGTTTTTCATACCTTTGACTAGTTCAAAAGAAAAAGAAAAGTGAATGTATTTGTGTTTCTTACCTATATAATACTGTAACAGGGAATCCCCAAGATTATTGTTTGGGGTTTTTTTGGTCATTTTCATTTCTGTAGGTATCTTGTAACATCTGTCTGGTACAGGTTTTACTCCAGTTCTTCACTGAACAAATTGAATTAGGTAGCATTGCTCTTACCCTTGTAATTAGTTTGCAGACATCTATTAGCAGCCTGTAGCTGCAGCTGTTGTAGCAAAGTCGTTCAGCAAAAAAACACAGTACGTAATATTCTTGTCCTTTTCTGCATACTCTTATGCTAATAACTGCCTTTATTAATTGTAATAATGTTATATACAAGTTCTAGGGATTTACTTACACTGTCAAAGCAGTTTCTTACCATTCTGTTGTCCATCCTTTTCCTTAGCACTGTATTTTTCAAAGCCCCAGGTAGCCATTTTCTCCCCCTTTGATAGATATTATTGTGTAGACGTACTCTGGTTGAATGCTGAAAAATTCCTTTTCCTTACGCTAGTCCAGCAAGCATGGTAGCTTCATTGCTTTTTTTCTCCCCCTTGAATGCCTAAATTTATGGGGTCATTTTTGTTATTTTTCACTTTTCAGTTAGTTGAATGTGCTCATAACTTGCCAGACCAAAGGATGGCACTTCCCTTTCCCACTTGCTTTTCAGGTGAATAAAACAATTCTGAACTCAGAGCTGTGCTTCTCATTATTGCCCACATGTGTCTGAAGTGTTTCCCCAGATTCTAGGCTAAAGATGAGGGATGTTTTTGTTGTTGTTTAGAGAAGTCCAAATTTGAGAACTTGAGACTCTGATTGAGAAGCTCTAACATTGCATCTGCTTTCAAATCACAATTATCCTTGGTTCCAAGGTATAGTGCTGAAGATGCTTGATCCTTAGTAATCCATCGGGAAAGGGAGTTTTTCTGAACACTTCACATTGGGGTATTCTATGAATGTTAAACTTCGTTCCAATTGGAATCTTGTGTTGTCAGCTGCTGGCAAGCTCAGCAGGCTCAGTGGAAACGTCTAGCACGAATAATGCTGTGGAGTTGTTCTCAACAAGTACTTTCTAGATAATGAGAAAGTTAAGGTATACCCTTAAGAACCAACAGTGCAGTATCAGTTCTGTAAACTAAGAGAAGGATTGTGTTTATATTGGGGGACATAGCTGAAATATGTGAAGAGTTTAACGATTTGATGTTATTTTTTTAAGCAGAAATAACTGCCCTTAAATATTCATTACTTTTTACTGTGTTTCAAGGGGATGACCTTATTAATGATGGGTTCCGCAGATGCGCTTCCAGAAGAGCCAGTTGCTCGACCCGTCTTTGTAGAAGACATGACAGAGGAGCAGTTGGCTTCAGCTGTAAGCATATTTCAAATTTTGTTTTCTTGTAAACCTTTGAATAATTGCGAGTTTTTAAATCCTTGCAGTTGCTTAAAAGTGGATTTTGAAACTATAATGTCTGTTTAGCACTCATAGCTTCTCAAAGAAACACAAATTTATGTTGATGACCCAACTGGTAGCACTGATGAGAAGTCTGGAATTTAATTTAAAAGTCATAAGTAGTGCTATTTTTCTTTAAGCAGACAGCTTAGTAAATTTTCTAAAAACAGCATTGCTGATGTTTTTATAGACAAAGTTGTATTGCCTTTGCTGTATTAGTGTCCTGAACTTTGCCTGAATAAAGGCTTTTAGATGTGTGAGAAGGGAAACTAGGGTTTGTTTGGGGTGTGGTGTGTTTGGGGTTTTGTTTGTCCTTGTTAGTAGTATTAGGTAAACTTTTCTTTCTGAAAAATGAAAATAAGTTTGACATTAGTGGAATATATTATATGTTTTCCTTCATGGGAGTACAGTCTGGAAGAGCATAATTAATTATTTTTTTTCTAATGAAGTAACTTCTGTTTGAGTTGTTTCCTTTTTTACAATTGAAAGGCTTAATTTTCTCATCAGTCATTTCAACTATGAGCTCTTTGTCATACTGAAAACAGTTGCATGACTGTTGTCAACTGAACATGCAGAATAATACTTTTATGCATGTCTGTATCAAAACTTACCTGTAGCTTAGGACTGTTTTTGTGCTTCAGTATTTAATGCTTTCCACGTCATCTGCAGGTGAAGGATATTTATGTATTTTTGAGTCTAACCCTATACACAGACTTTGAGATAACTGAGAGGCAAATAAAGAGATGATTCGGTGTCAGATAACATTTGGAAAAAGTTGGTCACATTGCATTTCTCTGATTCAAATTTTCTTATACATCAAAATTCACATTCAGTTGTCTGTACTGCGTGTATTCATTAAAAATGGAATGCACAGCTACATGAATTCTCTCTTCCTAAAATAATTAAGTGGCATTGGTATGCAGTACTACTTCAGTTTTATTAAACTACGTGCCTTTCCCTGACAACTATTGAAATATGCAGGATTAAAAAAAGAAAAAAAGAAAAATGCTATTATATTGTGATTTATAGTTGTTTCTGAAACTGGTTAGTTTAATTATTAGTTGGCCTTCACATTTGTCAAAACTTTAGAAATTTACAAGTTGTCTGGAAGGATCAAATTAATGATCTGTTGCAGACTTCTGGAGAGGGGTTTAAATAATGCTTTTGCTTCTAACTATGAACTTCATCGCATTCAGAGTTTTACTGAAAACTTACTTTAATTAAAACATCAACGTTTTGTACAAATGTATTCATGTGGAAATTTCATGGAAATAGAATTTTAAGGTCAAAACTTGAATGGGATTATAATTGAACTTTCTGAATGACTGCCTGCTTGAAGAATATGTTCATTAAACTAAACATGCACAGAAAAAACCCCAAAGCATTCCTGAATCCTAGAAGCACCGAATGGTGAAATGATTAATATAATCAGAAAATGGATCTGGAAAACTTCCTACAGTTTGGAATAATCCAGGTTTTACGCATCTTTGGTCATTCCTTTTCTTAGAAGTTGATGTCAAATTATAGCGTTTGTTCAAAAATGGTTGTTCATCTCACTCTAAGACCTTCAAGTACCCTGGTAAATTTTTTGGTAGATGGAATTACCGTGTGGATTGACAAACCTTGGCAACACTTGCTACATGAATGCTACAGTTCAGTGTATCCGCTCGGTGCCAGAAGTGAAAGAGGCCCTTAAAAGGTAAGATTCAGTACAAAAATATCATGCCTAAAATGTTTTCTTTAGCTTATGAAATAGATATTTTGTGGAATGGTCATCTTAATACTGGTATGGGTTATCATAACAATCTGTTATTCTTTAAATCCATTCAGAGTTAACATTATGATCAATTAAAGTTTATCCTATGGCTATGTTAGTCTGTATTTTTTTAAAGAACTTAAGACTATGTATTTGTTGGAACTGGGTTTTAGTGGAGAGAATGTGTTTTGCCTAGCTAAAAAATAGTTCTATCAAGACTTGTTTAAAATGCTTAAACAAGCTACTGAACTCCTAACCCTGTTTTCTGGGTTTGTATGATCTTGTTCTGTATAAAAGAATCATACGGGAGTCCTGTTCCTTTGAGGAATATTTTTTTTTCAGTGGCTTTGTTGCACAATGTGTTTTCAGCTATGAAACTGATTTTACCGACGTTTGGTACCTGGAGGTACAGCAGGAAGCTCTGAGATAGGACCATGGGTATTTCTGTGGCAGCAAACTGGAGTAAACTGGAGTTACTGCCATGTGGATGTGTTTTTTTTGTTGTTGTTTTTTTTTTTTTGTGGGGGTTTTTTGTTGTTGTTGTTATTCTGTACTGAAATGTGAAAATGACCAATTATTTTTTGTGAGGAATCTACGAGAAACTTGAAAATTATGATGACCGGGGGGGGGGAAAGAATACATGGTAATCTAAGCCTGAATTCGTCCTTGAGATGAATTATAATGAGAAAACCATCAGTATTTAAAAAATGTGAGGATTAGGTAGAGCGTTGCCATTTTAGAGTTAATTTAATTCCTTTAAAATGCACTGCTTTCTTGATACCTTGGTACTCAATGGATAGTCTAGATTACTGTAAACACTAGTTATTTAAGCATTTATAAATTTTTCTTCATTCTGTTAGCAGGTAGACCTTAATTATTTAGCACTGAGAACTATTTGTTAAGTACAGAAACTCTGTTTTAAAGCTTTTTCTTGTTTTTCAGTATTGTTGTTTTAGGAAAGTCTGTTTATTTCCATGTAAAGAACTCTGAGTTACTGCACTGAATCAGAGTATTTGACAAATTTATCATACCAAATGTCAAAATGTACCCTATAAAACTGGCAGACTGCAATACAAGATGTGGCCTTATCGTCTGTGGAAAGTCAGATTCACAGGCAGCCGCTCTGTTTTCCCCCGGAGACTAAGCCTTTATTTGGTCTTCCCTGCTTGATGACAGCATTGAAGGGTATATGGCAGTGGGAGAGAGGTGAAAGGACTCAAATGGGAAAGCTTACTATTACAGCTTCATTTCTCACCAGCTGCTCCGTTGATCTCTGCAAGGGTAACTCCCTGTTTTGTAGCATGATGGGGTAAAGTTTCCTACTCATCATCTAGCAACGGACAGAATTTGTGAAGTTCAGTCTGAGATTAAAGAATGCATGAAACCTTCCTTTGCCTGAAGGCTTACATGCTTTGAGGAGGCCATCTGTTCTTCAGGCAGCTGGTAAATAAGAAATCATTCAAAGAAGAGTGGTAAATTCCAGTAATATGAATGGACTCCCATACTTTTTCAGTGTAGGAAATACCTCCTCAAGAAAAATGTCTCACCTCTCACTGTTTTGAGGAGGGGGAAAGCAAGCCTGCCCTCCATCTCTGTGCATTTTATCTGCCATCTATTCTTGAAGGTGTTTTTTTTCCATGTACCTGAAGAAGCTGTGGCAAATGTTTCAGAAATGGGGTGGCTTCAATTCAGCCTTTTTCTCACCTTATTTAAAAATAGATTGAGTCTTTGAGGCATTGGAGTAGGGAAGCGGCAGTGATGTATCCAGACTTCTCAGTCTGCATTTATTTATTATCTCAAGGATGTCAGTTTTCCTTTGCTTCCATGCAGTGCTTGCAAAATAGCTGAGGCTTTGAGGTGAGCGTCAGTGAATCTTTTCTTCAGTTACTTCTGTTTTTGTGATCGATTTCTTTTGATACATCTAAATAAATTTAGCTGCTGCCTGCTTTGTGATTTGAAAAAACTGACTGCTCTTCTTGATTGTGAATAATTGAAATTATTTTTCTTCTCTTTTAGGTATGGTGGTGCCTTAAGAGCTTCAGGAGAAATGGCCTCTGCTCAATACATTACTGCAGGTTGGTGTTTAGAGTAGAACACAGGATTTTAGGCTAGTGTGTGAGTTCCTGCGAACTGCAGATAAAAATTGCAGTTAGAGCACTGCATATTTTTCTTTAGTGTATATGCCTTAGGAATTTCAGATCTGCTAGCACTGGAGGATTCATTTTGCTCTGTCGTTAATATCTTTAAAGGTTATTCTGACTGTGGCTGCAAAGCATACATCTCTGCATATTACCTAGCTGCACGCTAGGAAAAATATTTTCAGTTGTGCTCAAGGCTTCGATAGAAATCATTTGTATCTCTTAACTGTTTTGCATGTAGGCATAAAGTAATTGGAACTTCCTAAAGCAGACTCATCCATCTGTTGTTTTCATCATTTTGTGTAGAAATCTTTTAGTGTACAGTTCTTTGTTTCACTTAACAGTAGGCTAATGCCGTATTCCTGGAATATGTATTTCATTGCTATTTTTTAATATGATTTATTGGCTGAGCGTTATTGTTACGGTGGTAGCTGATCAGTGGTCTTAGCTTTTACCATAAGGATCCAGATTCCATAACTGTGAAACAGAAAGTAGTGTCTTCAAAAGGAGAGTTACTCTTTGTTGTGGTGATCTGGGTGCTCACAATGTGGGACCTCACGATGGCCCCGTATCTCCAAGTTCTAACTAGAATTCTAGTTAGACCCCTTACACTTGAACAAGGGTACTACTTGTCCACTTTTTCTTTTTTTACTCTATTTCATTGCCCCACTAAGATGCTGGGCCAGGACACTGGGATTTCTACCAGTCCATTTAAGGAAAAACAAAACAATATAAGGAAGGAAAGGTCCAGTTTGTGGGTATGCCTGCTGATCGAATTTTGGGGTGGTAAGTTCAATGGTTACTCTATACAACCATGCCTGCCCCTCCCCTTTTCACTGCCTTTACTTCGTGTCCCTTGTTTTCTTTTTAAGGTGACAGCTCTGCTTTTTAGGAATCTTAATAGTTTAAGTAATTTGTAGTTAATTCTTTGGTGTTGAGCTGGTCAAGAACTCCTGCATGACACTTATGGCATTTTTTTTTTTTTTAAATTGCTGTGTCATATCAGTTGTCCCTCTTATTAAGGTCAGTGAAGATATTTCATAAAGAGAGGAAGCAACTGACCTTGGTTGCTTGTAATCTTGCCTATATTCACTATGCAAGAGTATCATTCATTAGTCTCTCCACTTGTAAATTAGTGATCATGCAGACTGTTGTCTACCTCACAGGGTTGTTGTGAGGGTTAACAGGTCTCTGAAGAGATTTCTGTATTTAAAATGCTGTAACCTGGGTAGATAAGACATATATAGTAGTGTGTCTGGAGCAAAAAAGAAAGCCATGTGTATTGTCATGCAATCAGTAGCATTCAGTGAATTACACATAGTTATGAACTGTCTGCACGTATGCATACACATACTTTTTTTCCTGGGTCTTAAATTAAGCATGAGTATTTTCTAGATATTTTAGTTGGGAAAAATGAAAGGTTTTTTCCCAGTAGTTGGTGAAACTTAAGCTCCTCTAGAGGATAGATTGTGAATGCTTTCTGGTTTCTCTAGGTGTAGTCCTCTTGTGAAAACATTATTCCTCAGATGTGTTTCAAATGAAATCTTAACTGCTCAAAAATTTTTTTTTTTTCTTCTGTTAGCAGCCAGGAAGGATAAGGCACTATGTGCCAAACTCTCAGAATTGTTATCTTTACTATTGCAAAGTCATGTTCACAAATGGGATCTTAGGTGTAGCTGGTATGCCACTTGGAAAATTTGGTCCTGCTTTGGAAAGATCAAATTGGACACTTAAATGATCAGTCTTTAAATGTTGCTGCTGTTTTACTATTCTTTTTAAACTTCCTGCCGTGTTTGAATTTTTTTCCACTTCTCAAAGCATTCACTTACTTTTTCTTCAAGCTCTTAGAGACTTGTTTGATTCCATGGATAAAACTTCCTCCAGTATCCCACCTATCATTCTCCTGCAGTTTTTACATATGGCCTTCCCACAGTTTGCAGAGAAAGGCGATCAAGGCCAGTACCTTCAACAGGTAAAGACCAATTATTAGCTTATTGTTTGAAAATTCTATAGCATGTTGGAAGTTGAGAAAAAGAATATTTTAAAACGTCCCTTCTCCTGTGAAAATAATTTATCCCAGAAAAGGGTTTGCTTTTGTATCATGTAGAAAAGTTGAATGAAATACCAAGTGCTAGGTCTGAAAACGTATGGTGGAATAGGGAGAAATTCTTAGTTAAGGAATCCTTAAATTTGCTTTTATACTGTAAAGATCGATGGATTTAATATTAATAAATCATAACGCTACTAGTCAGATTTAATGTTCTGTTCCGTTTGTAGGATGCCAATGAGTGCTGGGTGCAGATGATGAGAGTACTACAGCAGAAGCTGGAAGGCATAGAAGGTGATGCAGTTATGGAGGTAATTGTAATCTCACTCTAACCAGAGTTAGGATTTATAGTGTTGTACTTGTGATTCACATATCTTTTGGTAAGGATTATCTGTTATGCGAGTTCTTTAACATGTATCTATAGTCCAGTAAGTGAAATTGCTTTCTGATCTGTCCGATCAGCGTAATGCTACCTGTGTCATGTCAGCTGTGCTATGGAGTGTACTATAGGAATTCTTTCCCTTTGGGCTTCGTCAGGCACGTGTTGGACCAGGGTGGTGGTGACTGGTGGTATGCAGCAGCTGGCCCTGATAACCTGTGAATTTAGCACATAAGAACTTCTTTTCTGAAAAAAGTGGGCTACAGTATTCTTGGCTACAAGAATGCTATTTCAAACAGACAACTAGCTTAATCGACCTGATGGGAAGAACTTTAAGTACCAGACCAACTCTCTTCTTTCTCTGTAAACTGTTTTCTGCAGAGTCTTGGCAGTGGCAAAAATGTGATAGACTACTCTAAAATTTAAGAAAGGTTTAAGTTGGGGGGCAGGGAGGTGTGACTTTTTGGTAGAAGTCTTGCTTGCTAATATGCTTTGAGGTGGCTTTAACAGCATGCTATATATGCATTTATTTTGAAACTTTTATACTTTTACTGTGTAAGGAGATTGACTGACTAAGAGCAAATAGACGTATAGAAATGAGACGGAATAGGCTTTAAAGAATTTAAATAAATGGGATTATTTTTGAATGTCTTTACATGCTATTTAAAGTTGCATCATAAGAGAATTTGTTTTACAGACAGACTCTGGAGCTACAGCAGCATCTTCTAAAAAGAAGAGTCTAATTGATCAGTTCTTCAGTATTGAATTTGAAACAGCGTATCCTAAAGACTAAGGCAAGATATACAGAGTGATAATAATTTCACACTTTAGGAGTTGAGTGTGCAGAGGATGAAAAGCATGGTTCAGAATAGTATAGAAAAGAAAATAAAGGTGTGTGTTGGGGAAGGGAGGGAATGATGTATTGCAGGAGTACACAGAAGTTAAAGTTCAGACTGCGTATACTTTGAGAGACAGAATGATGTGAGGAAGAAGAACGGTAATGGAAATTTACAGGAAAAAACCCACTGAATTTAGTTGCCAGATTTCCTCCCCAGAGAAAATTGCCAGTTACCTACTTCAAGGAGGCTGCCATGTTTTATCTAAAGAAAAGTAATTATCATCCTAAATAGCATTTTTTTGGCTTTTAAGGGAGTGTTGCTAATATACTTGGCATACTAAATGTGCACAAAAGATAGCTTGCTTGATTTTTTTAAGAAATAAATTAGATGCACGCTGTTAGATGAGTAAGAAACTAATGCAGCTGACAACTTTCTAGTAGCTTTTTTTGTAGCAAGAACAAAAGGCAGGTGACTACATGGGGCATACATCTCATGCGAAGCGTTACTCTCTTCCCACTTCTCCACCCCAAAATCCTGGCTGTCTTGAAACTGACCACCACTTTTAAAAAGAACTATACTGTTTGTTTTGTTCATCTGAAATAAGGAAACATCCCTTTGGATGAGGTACTGTATCTCATAGCTTGGTAGTAATTAGAGTAAAGCCTTTTTTCAGCTAAGAGTCGTGCATCTCTCTCCCGGTATTATGACGTTTGTTACTCCTGAAATAGCTGGGAGGAGCAGAAAGAATAGCTAAGAGGAATGATGAATAGGCCAATGGCAGGAGAAAGAGACTTGGTAGAAAAGTCGTGTTGCGAGCCTGCCAGGTGTGATTATGGCAGCATTTGTAGAATAGATGCGTTCAGAGCAGTCAGAAAAATAGCTGGTTGGAAGGAAGTGGATGAGAGAAAAGGATTGGGGTAGAAGTATGAAAAAGAAGAGGTTGGACAGAACGATTAGAAGAATGAGTGGAAAATAATGAAGAAATGGACTTCATTTCAGTGAAGAGGACAGATACAAGGCAGGGAAAGGAGGCTCTGCATGTTGAAAGAAACGGGAAGTCTGACGAGCAGAAGGAATAGAAGAACTTTATTAATGGTAAACAAAAATGGAGCATAAGGTTGCAGGAGAGCTTCATAACTTGCTATTGGCAGTCAGTTAGTACGATCTGTGTCCTGGGGGTTGCGGAATGGGGTGGGGCATGGGGTGGGGAGAAGAAAGAAAAGCAGGTATTACAAGCTTAAGTGATAACTAATAACTTATTTTACTTTTTTGGTATGCTGTCTGCCTCAGCTGCCACTTGTCATCAGACACAAAGGAACAGATTGGTTAGAAGGAAGGGCCGTTTCAAATCTTCTTTATGCTATGAGAAGTAAAAGTACTATTGGTGCACAAACCCAGGATTATCTTAAATTATCGTGCTGTTCAGCATGTTGTTTTCATAAGAGCAGTAGTTCAGCTCTTCGTGCATGATGGTTTTCCTTAATTTTGTGAAGCATGAAATGTACAGAAGCTGAAGAAGAGGAAGTAACTAAAGGAAAGGAAAATCTGCTTCAGCTTAGCTGCTTTATCAATCAAGAAGTGAAATATCTGTTTACAGGACTAAAATTGGTAAGTGATTCCAACTTGTATGTAATTGAAATTCTGAATGACCTGTGGTTTTAATCTATGACCTGGAATTCAGATCTGCTGTCCAAGCTTTACGAAGTTCCAGGATTTTTTTGGTGTTCAATGGGAAGATGACAGTGAAAATGAATTGTAAAGCAGACTTCAACAGAGCGTTTTCTTGACCCTGACATGGTCTTCCCCATGCAGGTAACCAAGTGCAAGCCAATTTGCTACTTGTTTGTTTAGCTGGCTTTCACTTCAGACTGAGCGGTATCGTAATTTAAGCATGCTGTAAAAAGTTCCCCAAAAGTCCAAAAGTCAATTTTAAAATAGGGTGGCATTTTGATCGCTAAGAAAAAAAAAAACAACAGATGACAGAACAATTAAACTTAAATTTAATCTTGCAGATTTTGAAGGGGGTGTTATTTTCCATGATGGAACATCATCTTTAAAGTGTTTACTTAAGTAGAACTTCCTAAGATAGTCTCTGCTTTTTATATATGTATTTTTAAGTTTTCAGGGTTTTTTGGAGAATCTAAAAGAGCAAGGAGAGAAGCTACTACAAAACCTTTGTAGTAACTGCTCTTGCAGAGTATTTGTACAGGAGCAGGGATGGAAGCAGTGATCTGGTTTGTACAGGACCAGACCAAGTTGCATGGTTCTCAGATAATTTTTGTGTTTGCTTTTTCTTTTTTGACAGAATTTAGAAGGAAAAGTAAGATAAAATAGTTAAAGCTCACAAATTAAAAAGATTGTGAAAAGAAACCTCACTTTCAGGCCAAAAAAAGTCATGTAGAGTTCTTGTGCTGGCTTGCCTGTAGCAAGAGAGTCATAACACTAACAACCAGGCCAGTCTTTCCCTGAATTTGGAAAGATCCCTGGAAGCAGAGTATCACTGCCTGTCTCTTTACATGCGGCGTGCTCTGCTTTAGACTGAGAGTTGAGAAACGTGCAAATATTCCTGTCACAAGAAATTCCGGGTTGTCCTTCGTTGTGTTCCAAGCATGACGTGACACATTCGTAACCGAATCCAGTTGCAAGTTCTACTCCTGTAGAATAAAATTTTCTGCGGAGAGAAATGTAGTGTTGTCGGGGCTCAGGAATGAGCCTGGAGCTGAACAAATGAATGGGGGTGGTCTTTCTGCCAAGGGATTTCGAAATTATGTGTGTCGTAATAGCTGATAGCAACAGAACAAATTGGCAGAACAAGAGTTAGTTCATGGTTTGTTTATCCGTGCTGTGCTTGTCTTTAAGCTGTGTTTTATGATGAACTACCTTTCTGGGGTTTTTTTAACAGCGTCTTCAAGAGGAAATCACCAAACTCTCTCCAACACTGCAGAGAAATGCACTCTATATTAAATCTGTGAGTGATACTTCTCTTGCTTTCTTTATGATTCTTTTAACTGTTATCAATTTTCTGTCCCAAAACACAAAATTATTGCTGCAACAGCATGTGATTTATGTTTATAAAGCATCTGAATATCCACTACCATGAAATTCAAGGCCAGTTGAAAATTGAGTACACTACTATACAGAGCTTCAAAATAAGAGGCCTTGTTATATTCCTATGTGTTTGTGTACTAATATATTCCCAGAATAGCCTGTAGTTTAGGATGAGCAGTGTTTAAGGTATAAAAGATCTGTGAATATCTAAAGTAATAGCCTTTTCTAATTTTTTTATAGTCTAAAATTAGTCGCTTGCCAGCGTACCTGACTATTCAGATGGTTAGATTTTTTTACAAAGAGAAAGAATCTGTGAATGCCAAAGTTCTTAAGGTAAGTTTTCTGCATATTGATGTTTAATTCCTCTTTATGATTTTCAGTGAGTTTTTATTTTAAGTAGACGACTAATACTTGAAGGCTGTTCATGAAATTGTTTGCTTTTAAATTGCATTTTAAAATATTAACAGTGCAGTTTCTTTGCTTAAGTACAAAGTAGCTTTGTTCCCAGTTGTGATGATGTGTGGCAAACTATACCACCAAAATAGACTGGGGGAAGACAGAAGTGGGGACAGAAGAAGGGGCAGAAGTGAATTTGCTCCAATACTATTAGGATGTTTTTTGGTCTCTTTTCACCAGTGTTTCAGAGGAGAATGTTTAATTGGGAGGGCCATGCTCTCAGTCACTGGACCATGTTATAAAGTTGATGAGAAATATTTATGCCAATAAACAGTTCCTGTATTAGTTTTTTTAATTGTCTGGCTTTCTGATTGACAAATGCCAGAACCAGCTGCAAACAGCTAAACGTTCCAGTTTTGCTTTCTGTTGGCCTTGGCTGACAGACCCCCTAGGCTGCCCAGGGAGCATCCTGTAGGTGATGCCTGTTCCTTACAGGACAAGCAAGGGACTAAAGATTGAAGGCACATGTCAGCTATTTCAAAAGATTGTTTGGATCACAAAAATTGACATTTTTGCAAGTGTACAATCATTCTACGTGCATTTTTTTTTCCTTAGGCTCACATAGGCATTTCTGTAGGATAAAAGTATGACAGCTGATAATAAAGAATCTTAATATTTATACTGAATGTACTAATTTATGATGGTTTGTTTATACTGAATCAGACATTCTTCTGTGAAATATTGTGGCCCTTTAGGTAAGTACCGTCAGCAACATTTCAGTAGGTCAAGTTGTCATAAAATGTGATGAGAGTTGCATTTAATTGGACTTAGTGTTGTCTTCCTGTGGGAGAATGCTTTAATGTGGAGTACCAAATTATGCTTTTTACTTCCTAGGATGTTAAATTTCCTCTTATGTTGGATGTCTATGAGCTGTGTACTCCAGATCTTCAGGAAAAAATGGTTTCTTATCGATCAAAATTCAAAGATCTAGAAGACAAAAAAGTAAATCAGCAGCCAAAGAATGTAAGTCTTCTGGCAATTTCCTTTCCAATTAGATTAAATAAGTCGTACATCTGAAATTGGGGTACCAATAAGGGCTAGAGAAGACTTGACCTCTTTAAATATATTGTTTTCTTATTTAGCATTCAAACTCCTTGGTATTGAGCTTTAGGTCTTTTTTGTGTATTTTCATGAAAACACAATATCTGCTTCAGTATGACTGCTTGATGAGAAATGTTAAATGCTGTAGACAAATTCGTTGCTAAGATTTTTATTTCAAAATGTATTAAAATGTAGGGCTTCTGCTTACCAGTATTATGCCTAAAGGTTTTCTGTGAATTACACAAAATGATTCTCTTCAAACGTTACTGCTTGCTGGCAGGTCACTTGTTCAGCAGAGTATAGGTAGCTATTTCCAACTCACCAACTGGAAAGGGTTGTGCGAGGGAGAACTACAGGTCTGACTGATAAAATTTAGCGTATATGTACTATTGAGCCTAAAGATTGTACTCTAAAAACTTGGTAAATGGTTTAATCTCCTACCCTGTCTACATATTCTAAAACTGACTTGCCTTTCTTTAATGAAGGAAAGAAGTAAATGAGCTAAAACTGTAATGTTTTAGCCTATTTTTTTTAGTTTGCTACTCCTGGCAGTTCAAATTAAACATTAAAACAGAATGTATTAGCACTTAGAGTCTGTCTCTGGTATTTTCTTGTTGCCACTTCTGCTGCTGGCAAGTCCCTAACAAGGAGTAAAATCTTTACCTGCTGAATTGGTTTTGTGCTCCAAACCGGTAAATCTGGTGGGTAAACAGTCCAGGCAATATGTAGTAAAATGGTTATATATTTGCTTTAAAAAGTGGTCTTGTTTAGATTAGTTTTTTGGATATCCAGCTAGAAATATGGTAATGGAACTTGTTTCAAGTTGAACAAAAAGAGTTTAGGCTTAGAAAGATCTTTAAAAGAATGGAGAGTTGATATTTGATGTGATTGTGCTAAAACTTTCTCAAAACCATTCCATATTAATTCAGCATATTCTGTTTTTTAGTCCAGTAAAAGTGATGGTGCACAGAAAGAAGTTAAATATGAACCATTTTCTTTTCCTGATGGTGAGTACAGGGAAATAAATCTATTTTAAAGTAACTTTCTATTTGCTCATGTTTAAGTGGACCTGATACAGGAATATTTTGAGAACCCTGGTTATTTTTAATGCCTTTGAAAATAATCTTCAGAAACTGACAGAAATTTAAGGAATGGAAAGATTAGGCAAGTTAGAATGCTGTTGAGACAGTCAAAGACCTACTTGTCATCCATCTGACGAGTTGGTGATAAATAGAAGACACGCACATCAAAAGGTATTTGCATGTACTGTGCTGTTGTTTTGTACACGTCCTTGTCAGTGGGTGGCAGAAAGCTGAAATCAAAACAAAAACTTAAATTGGACTGTGGTGGTGCTAGTGTTGCCTCATTTTGGGGGGCTGGAATGTCCTAAGCATTCACTCTTATGTTGAGGACACTGCACAGAAAGTATTTTGGAGGTCTTGTTTACCCAAATTGTTACCATTTAGTGTCTCCTGAGGCTTTGTGTGTGATGCACTACGTGAGAAGCGGTGGGAGGCCTTGACTAGCTCCAGAGCACAGTGAAAACAGGATATTGTAGAGTGCTGGGAAATGCAGTGAAGACAAAAGTTGGGGTCTGTAGCACCCTTCTTAGTACATTTGGAATTAGCCATTTTTTTTTTCATTGTAAAATTGAATAGTGTACTTCAACTAATGGAAGAGTGGTTGAAGTACTGGCTGAACCTGTCCAGGTTTACTGACCATACATCATCATTTTAATGCTCTAAGCTTACTGCATTTGCATTAGATCCAGAATACATATTTGTGTCATGAAAATGGACAACATTCCTGGTTTCCTGAGGGGCTCTCCTGGCTGAAAGCTACTGCTTTTAGTTCACAGTGACTTAGAACCATGCTATAAATGGGGTTTTACACAGCTGCAGTGTGGCTAATGCAGCTTTGGTCTGCATGCTGTTAAAAAGGCTAAAACTGTTCACGTAAGAGTTGTGTAACTCTTTTTTTTTCTCTGCCCTCTTTCTTCAGATATTGGTTCTAATAATTGCGGCTATTATGACCTGCAGGCAGTGCTAACACATCAAGGCAGATCAAGTTCCTCTGGGCATTACGTGTCTTGGGTTAAAAGGAAACAAGGTAAAAAAAAAAAGTTATAGCACTGTTACCCTTCACAGCTTCTTAAATGAAAGAAACACTTAGATTTTTACATACCTAAATTACAAATAATCGTTTTGTTTTTCTTTCAGATGAATGGATCAAATTTGATGATGACAAAGTCAGCATTGTTACACCTGAAGATATTTTGAGGTTATCGGGGGGTGGAGACTGGCATATAGCTTATGTTCTACTCTACGGGCCGCGCAGAATCGAAGTACTTGAAGATGAAGCTGAACAGTAGTCTTCAGTTTTAGTCATTCTGCCTAGGTGTGAAATAAATGTTGATTACTGATCACTTCTTTAACCCCAGAGCTTTAGCAAGTGGATAAATAATTTGTTCAAACCTTTTCCTGTGACGAGGGATATGGTTTCAAAACTGATCCATGTACCAGTTAGTCACTGCTGGACTGGACTGCCCACTGTGGTGGTGACAATACTTAAAATAGCTTTAATGTCTTGCGGGAAATAATTTTTTTAAAATGAGCCTCTTCCCACCCCCCCACCCC